GAATTTTATCGAATGACTTTTCAAGATGATTGTGGCAATCCAAAAGTTTTTCTCTGTTGCCCAGTCTGCAGTGCAGTGGTGTGATCATAGCTCACTGCAACTTTGAACCCCTGGGCTCAAGTGATCCTCCTGCCTCAGCCTCCCAGGTTGGTAGGACTATAGGCATCTGCCATCACACTGGGCTATTTTTTAGATTGTAGAAATGGGGTCTCACTATGTTGCCCCTGCTGATCTCGAACTCCTGGCTTCAAGTGATCCTGCCACCTTGGCCTCCCAAAGCACTGGGGTTACAGGGGTGAGCCACTATTCCCAGCCTTACTTTTTACATCTTTAGGGTAACCTATATTTACATACGAAGTTAGTCTGTGCTTTTCTTTATTATGCTTTATCAGTTTTTTTTTTTTTTAAGTCAGGGTGTTATGTTAGCTTTCTGTTACTTTTGTCCACTTGAACACTTCATATACCATGGGAATTAATTGTGTTTGAAGTTCAGAGAGAACTTGATTGTGTAAGTAATCTAAACTAAAAGCTTTTTTTGGAAATCATTTCTTATTAACTTTTACATTTTTCCATGGTTACTGATCTGTTGTTTTTTTTTGACTTCTTCCTGGGTCAGTTTGCTTCTAATTATTATTTTGGCTGTGTCTCCCAATATTTGATATGTGGTATTCTCATCACTGAAACCTTCTAAGCATTCATTCTGTAATTGTGTTTTTAATTTATTCTCCAATCAATGATTTTTTTTTTAAGAACTCTGAAGTTTCCCCAAGAGCTTGGGGTCTTTTTGACTTATCCTTTTGTAATTAATGCATAGTTTTGTTACAGTGTGATCATAGAATGTGGTCTGACAATTTCTTTTGGAAAGAAATTACTTACAATTTTTTTTGGTAGCCTAATATAAAATCAAGTTTTACAAACTTTTCTTATATTTTTTTCTTAATGGGCTAGACAGAAGATCCTTCTCTTTAATTATTCATTTATTCATTGAGAATTGTTTCCACCATGTGTCTCATTCATGCCAGGCATTGTATTAGGCATTGCAGGATATAAAATGAATTAGTCATAAGCTTTGTCTTAGGTTGATAACGTTTGGATGGAACACAGACACATGTAGACCTAATTATAATACAGAAAGAAATGCAACCGCAGCGAAATGTACAAAAGCAGCAGGCAGCTAGAGTGGGAGTCAAGCCCTGTCGTAGGTTCTGAGGATACAAACTTGCCTATGATGGCCCTGAGAGGCTTTCAGTCCTAGCGTGTAAAACATACATTGAGAGCAGAGACAGGCTTTTTGGAGGCAAGGTGATTAATTAGGAAATCACCGCAGACCTTCAGTAATAAATCAGAACATATGAGGGATGGTAAGAGTGCAAGATGAGAACAGAGGATTTTCACACTTAAGGGACAGATAGCAGAAGAGAAGTCCAGACTGGAGGATGAAGGAGGTAGTAGTAAAATTTTATAGACGCTGTGCGAGAGTTTTTCAAGGGGTGCTTGGTCAGTTGGGACAAACAGAGCCAAAAGTTCAAGTAAGATGACTCACACCTGGAATCCCAGCACTTTGGGAGGCTGAGGCGGGCAGATCACGAGGTCAGGTGTTTGAGACCATCCTGGCCAACATGGTGAAACCCTGTCTCTACTAAAAACATGAAAATTAGTCGGGCCTGGTGGCACGTGCCTGTAGTCGCAGCTACCCGGGGGGTTGAGGCAGAAGAATCGCTTGAACCTGGGAGGCGGAGGTTGCAGTGAGCTGAGATCATGCCACTGCACTCCAGCCTGGGTGACACAGCAAGACTCCGTCTCAAAAAAAAAGAAAAAAAAATTTTAAAAGTTTCAGTTACATTTGGTCTTTGGGGACTTGGAAAGAGCAGTTTCAGTGAAGTGGGGGAAAAAAGCCAAGCCACAAGCAGGTTGAGACTAAATGGGATGTGAGATGGTGGAGACAAGTATTTTTTCAGGAGCTTAGTTGTGGAGGGAATGCAGGAGTTAGGGCGGTAATTAAAGGAGCAAGGCTGGCTGGGTGCGGTGGCTCACGCCTGTAATCCCAGCACTTTGGGAGGTCAAGGCAGGTGAATCACGAGGTCAGGAGATCAAGACCACCCTGACTAACACGGTGAAACTTCATCTCTACTAAAAATACAAAAAATGTAGCTGGGCATGGTGGTGGACACCTGTAGTCCCAGCTACTTGGGAGGCTGAGGCAGGAGAATGGCGTGAACCCAGGAGGTGGAGCTTGCAGTGAGCTCAGTTTGCACCAATGCACTCCAGCCTGGGCGACAGAGCAAGACTCCATTCAAAAAAAAAAAAAAGAGCAAAAATCAGAAAGACTGTTGGGATATAAAGACAATGTGAGAACGTGAGCATGTTTAGCTAATGAGGAGTGCGCGCTGAGAGCAAGGGAAGGCATGGCTGTTGTTGAGAGTCCTAAGCAGGTGGGAGACACATGGTGAGACACAAAGCCCAGGTGGGAGGTGGCCTCTTGACAGGAATAGGGAACCTCTTCTTGAGTCGAAGGCAATGCTTGGAACTGGTAGGGAGTGTGGGCAGAAAGATGGGCTTTCCCCCATTTCTTTGCAAGGCTGTGTCATTGTAGAACCTTTGGTCACAGTCCTGGACTCTGACTGAAAGGGTCCTGGGTCTTGGCCTCTGTGTTAACAGTTTGCTTCATAGGGAAGATTTAGGATTCATCCCTTCCTCTCCTGCTATAGAACTACAAAAGAATCTCTACACCAGTGGTCCCTAATGTATTTGGCTCCAGGGACCAGTTTCATGGAAGACAATTTTTCCACGGACTGGGAGTGGGGGGATGGGGATGGGTTCAGGATGAAACTGTTCCCCCTCAGATCATCAGGCATTAGACTCTCATAAGGAGCATGCAGTGTAGATCCCTCGCATGCACAGTTCACAGTAGGGTTTATGCTCCTATGGGACTCTATTGCCACAGCTGATCTGACAGGAGGCGGAGCTCAGATGGTCATGCTCGCTTGCCTGCTGCTCACCTCCTGCTGTGCAACCTGGCCTCTAAGAGACCACAGACAGGTACCTATCCATGGCATGGGGGCTGGGGACTCCTGCTTTACACTTATGATATAGTTTGGATGTTGTGCCCACCCAAATCTCATGTTGAGATGTAATCTCCAGTGTTGGAGGTGGGGCCTGGTGGGAAGTGATTGGATCATAGGGACAGATTTCTCATTAATGGTTTGGTACAATCCTCTTAGTGCTGTTCTTATGATAGCGAGTGAGTTTCTTTTCTCTTCTTTTCTTTTCTTTCTTTCCTTTCTTTCCTTCCCTTCCTTCCTTCCCTTCCCTTCCTTCCTTCCTTCCTTCCTTCCTTCCTTCCTTCCTTCCTTCCTTCCTTCCTTCCTTCCTTCCTTCCTTCCTTCCTTTCCTTCCTTCCTTCCTTCTCTCTCTCTCTGTCTATGTGTCTTTCTTTCTCTCTCTCTCTCTCTCTCTCTTTCTTTCTTTCTTTCTGTCTGTCTCACTCTGTTGCCCAGGCTGGAGTGCAGTGCAGTGGTGCACTCTTGATCTTGGCTCACTGCAACCTCTGCCTCCCAGGCTCAAGCATGCCACCATGCCCGGCTAATTTTTGTATTTTTAGTAGAGGCAGGGTTTTGCCATGTTGGCCAGGCTGGTCTCGAACTCCTAACCTCAGGTGATTCACCCTTCTCGGCCTCCCAAAGTGCTGGGATTATAGGCATGAGCCACCACGCCCAACCGATGGTGAGTGAGTTCTGGTAAGCGCTGGTCATTTAAAAGTGCCCCCTCTCTGTTTTGCTCTTGCTCTGGCCATGTGGCTCATCTGCTCCCGCTTTGCCTTCCACCATGATTGTCAGTTTCATGAGGCCTCCCCAGAAGCCGAGCAGATGCCAGTATCATGCTTCCTGCATAGCCTGCAGAACTGCGAGCCAATTAAACTCTTTTCTTTATAGATTACCCAGTCTCAGGTATTTATAGCAATGCAAGAATGGACTAATACTACTTACCTTTCCTGAGGTTGTTGTCTCTGTTGGGCATTGAGGAGTTTCTAGAAGTCTCTCTTTCTTTAACTATGTGGCATGCAATGAATCATCAGAATAATTAACCCAGTCAATTGTAAACAAAGTGATTGATGGATGCCATCAGATCACAAAAGTTCCTATTACCGTAAATACAAGTGGATAAGTAAATCAAAATAATGTTTCAAATCCTCAGTAGGCCTCTTTTTCTGTTTCTAATTGAAGATTGTCACATCAACACATAAACAAAAATGCCTGTGAAGGAAATGTGTATTTTAGTGCACTGCATTTTTATATCTGAAGTTTATTTCTATTCCTAACTTTAAATGCTGAGAAAGGGATTTGTTTTGGTGCTTACAAAATTTTCCCATTTGCTCTTTGGGCTCTCACAAGTTGACAACAAATTACTGAGACCGAGGGTTTTTGTCTTTTTCTGTTATTCTAGAAAACGCTGTATCCTCTGTATGGAGGGAAATTTCTGGTTTGATTAACACTGTAAATTATTATGAGACAAAGCCTAAATATAAAAGATTACTCACACAGGCTCTTACGTTGAGTAAGATATTATGTATTAAAAATCAGGGTTAATAGTTTAACAGGCTCGTTATGGTTCAGAAATCCCCTGGGGGACTTCAACCGTCTTTTCTGGATGTTCACTTTGCCAAATAGGCTGCCTCTATGTCATACCTGAAGGGCGGGCTCAGACACTGATTGGGGGAAGTGTCACCCTTACTATAGCAAGAAGTCAGACATCCAAGGTCAGACACTATGCAAAGTCAGATACTTCAAGGGCTTTCCTTGGAAGGGAGGATGAAAAGAGAAGGGTAGGAACATCAGCTCAGGTGAGACATGTGAATTCAACGAAACATCAGGGATGGTTTGTCATGTTTGCGAGCAGCACAGAAAACGGCAGTTTGCTCCAAGTTCCCAGCACACCAAAGGGGGCAGCAGCGCGTCTGTAAAGTGCGTTGTCGACTTGGTGATAATTTCTGTTTGCATTCACACTCACTGATAATCTCAACTGTTCGAGGCAATTCAACAGATAACAATGCGGAAGTTTGGTCTAAAGCCACCTGAAATAACTTCCACGAGCTCTTCCAGCTCTTCTGATAAAGCTGCCTTTGATAGTTTTCATTAACTCCTCCCATATTTGCTCCTCAGAGTCCCTTGGCTTAGCAGCCCCAGCCTTTGAAGTCCAACCTAAGCATTCTTAGATGATGAGTGAGGGTCTGCCTTCCCCAGCACCAGCCACTTAGTCAGGCTTGTGGCTGGTCTAACAAACTGGAGCCTGGAATTCTGAGAAAACGAAACCAAACAGTTGTACTCCGGGGTTAACACAGAGTAACTTCCACCTGCTGTGTGAGTTGGTGATCCTTTCTCTTGCTGTTGGAGAGCCCCAGTGAAAACTTCACTGAAATGAGAGGGCATGGAGCCTGCCAGTCGCCTGCCCTGCACACACACACACACGCAAACACATTTAACTTTCCACTTGCAGTGACCTGCCCTCCAGTGTGACTTATCAGCTGTTTGGCTTTTGTCACTAAAGGAAAACAAATTGTGGAATGTCCTGCTCTGCATGCTTATGAGATGGCCGAGCCAACTTAGGGGTTATGAGGTGGTTTGCAAGTGAGGAGAAGAATGATGTTCAGTTTCTGACCTCCTGGCACGGTGGCGGGCGGTATTTATCAGGAGGTACATGTGACTGGTTAAGACTCAGAGCCCCAGCCTGAAGGAAACAGCTGCTCTCGGCGTGCTCCGGCACTTGGCAGCTGGACAGGCAGAGTGCTGATGTGAAAAATACCACCACGACAAAACCATCCCAGTAAGTAACTAGAGAACTTTCCTCTCTCTCTCTCTCTCTTTCATTCTCTCTCCGTGTGTGTGTGTACGTGTGTGTGTTGCAAGCCACCAAAAACTTATTATTTTGATTGTGGTTTCCCTCTGGCACGATAGGAGGAGATATTTTATTTGTACCTGTTAACAGCCATTGGTGTTTTCACAGCCCTTTTTCAGAACCTGTTATTTTCGGCAATGGTATCTTGTAACTTTGAGGATGAACGGGGCATGTGGCTTCACTCCTGTCTAGGAAACAGCGAGTTTGTTTCCCAGTGTTTGGAATTTTTCTGGTCCATGGTGTTTAGGTTCAAAGCCAAGATTCAGGTTATGAAGTAGAGACTTCATTGAAGTGAGTTGATGACTAGATTTGATTTTAATCTGTTTCTACCACTGAAACCTGAAAACATACTTGTTTAAAATAACTTGTGAATTTGTTGTATGGCTGACTTGGCTTTTCCTATGCAATTTTTGAGAATATCTCATTTAACTGTGTAGAACTGTCTGCAGTATAGAAGATTGACACAATAATATTTAGATTCACATTAGAAATCATACTTAGATTTCTTGCATGGTTTCCAACTAATTGAAAGCTGTATTTTATAGCTACTTTATTTCCCCCCCAACAAGCTAATTCACCTTCATTACTTTTAAATGTTCAGTTGCCCCTGGTCTTCCTTATTTTGGTGTTTTCGTGATGCTCGGGCTGTTTCTTCCTTGTTTATGACCTGGTTGGGAAAGTGCTGCCTGCAGCTGATGATTAACTCTGGGAGGCCTGGCATCCAAATTACAGAGAGGACCGGCTCTTTCTCAGGTTCATTCAGCAGTAATGGCGCTTGCTCTTGGGAGAGCAGCAAAGCAGGCACCATGCTGGAACTGAGCTGTTGTTCAGTGACTTTTGTCCTTCCTTGGTAGTCACCAGACAGAATGCTTCAGAGGAAAGGCAAAAGGGGAAAAGAGAGAGGGCAGAGCTCTAAACTGATGACGTAAACCTCTCAAAGTGACAGGTCTTTGAATCAGAGGCTGCAGGGAGATAACCAAACAGGTTCCTGTTTCTGGAGATTGCATGGACCTTGAGGAGGGCAGGTAGAGAGGGGCTGTTTTTATTTGAAGTCTCACCAAATAGTTGTTTTGCTTGTGATAAGCCTAGGACAACCTGGAGTGCGCTTGTTTCCTCGTGTGACAAATGGATTCTCAAACAGGCTCAAGTTATACGATTTTCTTTCACCCTCTGCCCCCTGCCATGAGGGAACACTATTCTCTCCCCACCTTTACCGCCCTTTGTTGTTTGTAGAGAATGGATTAAAATTGACCCAGGGCACGCCACTTCTGTGGTCGAGTTTCCCTTAACACAGTGGGTCTTGAGTACCACACCAACCAATGTTCTCTGATGGAAGCACTTTCAGATGCTCTGTCTAAACAAATGGCTAGCCTGACACTGAGAAGTTCTCCACCTTCTTTTCCTTAAAATTTAGAAGAATCCACAAAACCTAGAGTGGCCAATGAGGAAAAATAGTCCCAACTTCTTCTCTGTTCCTCGGTATGGCATTTGTGTGAGGTCCTTGGGTCAGCCGGTGGCCATGTGGTCTGTGACTTCCCTGTCTGACTGCTGGGGGAGGGGGGTCCTCCTGAGTCATTCTTTAGGGAGTTTGTTCCTGGTATAGTTTCATTTCTTCCACAGGTTGATAGTGGAAGAGAACCCTCTGGTGAAACTGTGTCTCTGGAATCATCGAGCCTCCCATAATAAAATGGAAGGTCTAAATGGGAGCAGTTGAATTATCCAACTGCTATATTTTTGAGAGCCAACAGACTCTTTTGAAAAACCCATGATACCCTGACTTTTCAAAATATTAATAGCAAAATAATAAAAAATAATGATTTTACTTGCAGATAGCACATCCATTGACTCAAAGACGTTTTGACCTGGATAGGAATGACAGAATGTGCAATTTAACTCTTTCATTTCAAAGATGAGGAAACTAGCAAATTTATTAAAGTCACAGTGCAGAGCCAGAAGAGACAGCTCGAGGCTTCTACGACTATTACTATAATAATTTCAATGCTAATAACAATCCCTTACATTTATTGTGCACCTACTATGCCAAATGATGTGCTAAACAAGTGTATTTATGTTCATAGTCTCCTCACAATAACTCTATGTGCTATATATTATTATTCCAGTTTTATAGATAGGAAACTGAGGTTCAGAAACCCCTTAGTTACTTGACCATACGTAACACAGACAGGAGGGACACCTGGATCTGACTGTAGAACCTGTAGACATTAAAAAATAAAAGTGGAATCCCACACATTTAAATTTAAAAACTCACAACATGCAAATGAGAGTATTTCCAGCACAATATGATTACACACACAATGCGTGTTATGGCCTCTTCGAGCTCTCCATGACAGGAAGGGCTAGGTTTCCCCCTGGGACAGTCCAAGCCCAAGCTCTATAGGATCACTGGCTGGTGGCATGTTTTTCTCTTTGAAAATAGTTCAGTGACGGTCCTGATGTTGGTAAGAACAGCAACTGGGAACTTTGTTATTAACCTCCAGCACACGGCTCCCATGCCCCTTCTGGCCTTTCCCTCCATTTTTCCTGTCACTCCTTTCCTTTGGAAGACAGCCACTCCGCCCATGCCCCACCCCAAATGGCTGGCTTAGTGTTGATAAAGCTATTATCAGACCCGTTCCCTGTGCTCAGCCTGGAAGGCTGGTTGTCTGAGTAGGTTGCTGATGAATAGAAACCATGCACTCTGCCACTCTGCTCCATTTTTTTGAGCTGTGGGTGTAGGGGGTGGGTCACAGGGCAGGGGACTAGCTGGCAGGGGGGAGGGAGGAGAGGTGTGCTCTTCTCCGCTGCCTGCACCTGCCATTTACCCTGAGTCACACTTCTCTGCACACCAGTTGCATATCTAAAATTCTGGCGGTCTCATGGGTGGGCCATGAACCTGTGGATTTTCTGGGTCATCAGACATGCAGAGCCCTTAAGAAACCTGCCTCCTCCTGAATCCTTTTAAAAATGTCGCTTGCTGCCCGCATTCCTCCACTTTAGGTTAAGTGTCAAAATTAGGGTTGGAGATAATGGGAAAGAGCACCAGGTAGTACATAATCAGCAGGGGACCTTTGAATAATCAGGAGGAAAATCAAGCACAAGTATGCCATGTGTGGATATCTCTGAGAAAGTTATCAATGTTTCTGCAAGGTCATTCTGACAAGATTGCACATTTTGAAGATCAAGCTATTTATAGCATGAAAGAGGAATTTTTAATCTTTAATCCCACCTGCCTGCTGCCTCTAAAACTAAGCCCAACTCAGTAGTAGCCAGTGATATGGTTTGCTAGGCCACAACCCCTGGGAATGGCCTCCAGTCCTTGCTAGGAATTGCTCACTTCCATAGAAATTGGCATTGTACAGGGGTGTCATATGGGTACATGTGAAGTGGACTCAGAATCACGACAGAGTCCACAGGTCATACTCTGGAGCTCATTTGAAAGAAAATAAAATGCTTGATGCGTTTTGGGGGGCCTTTACAATACGGAAACAAATTCTGGGATACAATGCCTATTTTATTTCTTCATTTTTGCCTGATTATGTGTTTCTAAGACATCTGCTTCCAAAAAATTAACTTTCTTGAATCTTCCTTTCCTTTGTTATTGATTTCTCACTAACAGTCTCTGGAGTTAACAGATCCAGTGTCATGTTCCCCCTGCTCTATGGGATTTGAAGTCTTTGGATTTTTTTGCTGTTTCAAGTGATTATTATAGCTTCAGCGTCTGTAGTGTGTAGAGTCACTGTGCTTTGATCTTTGAACACATCTTTGGTATTGAGAAGATGAACCTCTGCATTTATATATACTGGCATAAGGCACTTTCTTGCACCTTGACATAATCCCATGAAAGAGGGAGGGTATCATCACTATTGTTTTCCAAGAGGAAACAGAGGACGAGAGAAAATGAGTGACTTGTCTATGGTCATGGGAAAAGTAACTGTCAGAGCTCAACTATATCTCCTGTCTACTGACTCCAAGTGCCAAGCGTTTTCTGTTAGTTATGCCATCTTTCAGAAAAAGACCAATTTCAACTATTTCATGACCATGCACTTACATAATCTGTGGAGTTATCTTTGGTGATAAAAAGTTGTGTAATTTGTATTCTCTTCTGATAGGCAAAGAGTGAATGGATGACCAATTTGCGACATGCCACTCATGATATTTCCAAAGCCTATGGACATTTGACTTTGGAAACAGGGTCAGCTTAGTCGGCAGACACAGTATTTGCTTAGGGTAATTTTTTTTGTTTTTTTTCAGACGGAGTCCCACCTCTGTCGCCCAGGCTAGAGGGCAGTGGGACGATCTTGGCTCACTGCAACCTCCGCCTCCCAAGTTGAAGCGATTCTCTTGCCTCAGCCTCCTGAGTAGCTGGGACTACAGGTGTGCGCCACCACACCCAGTTAATTTTTGTATTTTTAATAGAGACAGGGTTTCACCATGTTGGCCAGGCTGGTCTCAAACTCCTGACCTCAGGTGATCCTACCCGCCTTGGCTTCCCAAAGTGCTGGGATTATAGGCGTGAGCCACTGTGCCTGGCTAGCTTAGGGTACTATTTTTAAAGGAACTTAGTGATCATTTTTCTGTCTTGAAGACTCATGTGGTCAAGTTGGAGTTATACCAACTATGGCATGATGTAACATTCAGCTTTGAGAGACAATTTGGTTGTTTCCTGTGATATGAAAACTGCAGTCTGCTCTTCAGTGTGCACTCTCCTTGCCCAACAAAACCATCAGCATTCTTGAAAGTTCTGCCTGGGTACAGCACCTTTATTCCTGTGGAGGTATAATATACTCTAAACACCATGAATAGTGTCCATTGTGATCATTTCCCTCTGCATGATTATCTGCCCACAACTGAGAGAGTCTTAAGTTGCTTGAATAATGGAGATGTTTCACTATCTGTCAGTTTCCCAATATGGCCATTCAGTTCATTGT